GGAATTTAAACTATTTGGATTGGAATATTCTTCAATAAATATACGTATACTTAGGGTTCACTGCATAAAAATTAAAGATAGTACCATTTGCGTTAAGTAAATAATAAAGATCGTATCACTTGAGTTTTACTTTTCATTTTGATAGTAGAATTTAACTTGGCGCCACAGTTATTGATATCAATCGTTCGTACAAATAATACATACCATTAGATTAATATTCATTATTTATTTAATTTGGCATGGTATAAAGAAGTGGGATTTACCTTGACGCCAGTTCTTGATATCAAATCCTTTATAAGAATGATACATATCATTAAAGTTAATATTATTTATTTAATTTGGTATTCGAATTACATGGAATTTAACTTGGCGCCAATTGTTAATATCAAATCTTTTTTACGAACGATACATATCATTAGAGTTAAATAAATTAAGAAAAAATTAAAGTTAGTATTATTTTTTCTTTAGGAGGAGTAAAATGGTAAAATTTAACTTGGCGCCAGTAATATTACTTGTGTTTATTACATATAATATGCAATAGCTCCTGACAGACTTGGAAAATTGTTCGTTGCAGATAAACAGAAATGTAAATCATACGTGAATTTGAAAGTTTCAAATTTAGTTTCAAACATCCTTTCGTATAGTCCATTTGAAAAAAATCTTCTTGACGTTTTCTGTAAGGATTCATTAATTATTAAATACTACATATTATATAAAATTTTACATTATTTCAGAATTCTCTTGTTTCATTCCCCACTATACTTGCGATCTAATCATATTCTGCATTATTTTATTTACAGTATAATCCTGTAAAGAAGAAAATTAACATTTGTTAGAACAGAATACTTTTCGAGAAAACCAACTGTTGTCAACTTTAACGCTTAACATCTCGATTCACGAGGCAGAGCGACACTTTTTTCTGCCAGATTCTTTCGTTTCATGTAAAAACGCGTCTAATTAAGCTGCTATACACCAGACGCCCTAGACCACCGACTGATGGCGTTGATCATGACACTCATTTCACCGACGGCAAACGAAATCAAAGACACTCATTTCCTTGAACACCTACACACCCACTTTCTCGACGGTGAATGCAGACAATACCTACACACCCACTTCCTCGACGGCGAACAGCTAGACACTTAATTTTGAACGGCAACATCCACTTCCTCGACGGCGAACACCTAGGCTAGATATTAATTTCCTCGATGGCGAACACCTAGACACCGGTTTCTTCAACGGCGAATACCTAGACACCTATTTTCTCGACGGCGAATATCTAGACACTCATTTCCTCAACGGCGAACACCTAGACACCAACTTCCTCGACGGCGAACACCTAGACATTCATTTCCTCGACGGTAAACACCTAGATACTCATTTCCTCGACAGGGAACACCTGGACACCAACTTCCTCGACAGCCAAAGGACACCTAGACACCCACTCCTTCGACGGCGAACACTTAGATGCCTATTTCCTCGACGGCGAACACCTAGACTCCAACTTCCTCGACGGCGGACATCTAGACATCCACTTCCTCGATGGGGAATGTAGACAACACCGAGAACATCACTTCTTCGAAGGCGAACACCTAGACACCCATTTCCTCGACGGAGAACACCCAGACACCCACTTCCTTGATGGCGGTTCCTTGACGCCCACTTTCTCGACGGCAAACACCTCGACACCCATTTCCCGGACGACGAATACCAAGACACCCATTTCCTCGACGGCTAACATGTAGACAACATCTAGAACACTCACTTCTTCGAAGGCGAACCCATTTCCTCGACGACGGACATCTAGAACACCCACTTCCTAGACGGCGAACACCTAAACACCCACTTCCTCGACGGCAAACACCTAGACACTCATTTCCTCGCTGGCGAACGCCTAGACACCAACTTCCTCAACGGCGAATATGTAGACAGCACCTAGACACTAACTTCTTCAACGGGGAACACCTAGACACTCACTTCTTTGACGGCGAACACCTAGACACCCATTTCCTCGACGGCGGACACCTAGAATACTCACTTCCTCGACGGCGAACACCTAAACACCCATTTCCTCGACTGCGAACACCTAGACACTAATTTCCTCGATGGCGAACACCTAGACACCGACTTCCTCGACGGCAAACGTGTAGACAACACCTAGACACTCACTTCTTCGACGGCGAACACCTAGACGCCCACTTCCTCGACGGCGAACACCTAGACATCCATTTCTTCGACGACGAATACCTAGACATCCATTTCCCCAATAAACACTCACTTCTTCGACGGCGAACACCTAGACACCCATTTCTTCGACCTATACACCCACTTCCTCGACGACAAACATCTAGACGCTTAATTCCTCGACGGTAAACACCTGGACGCTTAATTCCTGAATATCTACACACCCTCTTCCTCGACGCGGTAAAAACCTAGATCTTCAACGACAATCTCGATATTTCATTTTATTTATGTAATTAATATTTTATTTTAATATATATATATATATTCATTTTATTAATTTTAATTTCAATTAATCAATTATAACACGTCACATCGTATATGTGACAATGTTGCCATCGCTGATTATCACAGCCGTCATGTGTGGTTGATCACGTTCGAATGTGCAATGCTGCCATCGTTAGGTTAAGTCAAAAAAAGCCCTCTATTGTCGAAAAAACGAGATGGACATTTTCTCTTGGTCGACGATGACAATAATAATAATGTCGATGACGTTTCTTAAAATTATAATAGAAATTAAAAAATCCGGAATTTGCTTCGCGATATCTCCGGTGGTAGGGTACGTAGAAAAAAAATAAAAGCACTCTTATCATATAATCCGTGTGGTGGCTATCGATTGAGCATACATAGAACTTGATCGGTTCAGCCGTTATTGAGATCAGATAATCTTGATCTGTCGCAACTTGTCGGTTCGCATAAAGGAGGCACGTCAGTGTCGCTTCGGGCAGCTTAGCGCCGAGACACTTCCAGTGTCTCCAGATTTTTATTTTAACAGAAATGTGGATACTACTGCTGGATTATTTGGTGAAATGAAAATGGACGCATAAGTACGTAGAATATTGTGTAGAGTCATGAGTAATGGACAACGATAAAAATCTGTTTAGAAATGTTACGTATATTTGTACGTACGAGAGAGAAGCAATATATTTAATAAACAGATCATTCGTTTTTATTATAGTTGTTATTCAACTTAACCAATGTTCAGAAAATAGGTAAGTTATATTCAATATTTACTGAACATTCTGAACTAAACTTGAATTATTTGAAAGAGAAAGCGCTATAGAGAAATAGAAAGAAAAACTGCTACAGAAAATCAGTTACGTGATTGGTTATCTCCATAGTTCGCGCATGTACAGTTCAATTTTGTGCACGCTAAAATCTGGAGAGTTGTACCATTGTATATACTGTGGTCGTGCGATCATAGGCAGGGGCGAGATGAGATGAATCTCGCTTCGCGTGGAAACTCATATTCCTTTAATCGATCCACCTTATACCTCTCTACCTGCCTAAAGTTATCTGACTTTTCATGTAAAGTAGGGGAAGAATTACTACACTGTTAGAAATGTTCTTAAATTTCATTAACTTTTAATGTACATTGGTGGATGAAGTTTAATTTCTCTGTAACTGAAAGGACTATTAATGCACATGTTAATGAGATTTAAGTTTACAGTAACTGAAAAATTAAGTGTAAGAAAATTTAATATAGGGTAAAAGCAGGGATTATGGAACAGCTTTTTTTAAATTAACATTGCTCCGATATAAATGCATATGATGACTTTAAATTTACACAGAACTCTTGAGGAATATGTTAGCTACAGCATCCAATAAATGAAAGTCGCTAAAATTTAAGTCTAAAGTCAATATTAACAAAAAAGTTAAAAGTGAGAAAATGAGGGGTCTAAAAAATGGAATGTAATATGGAATACCGATGAAATTTTGACCATAGTAATAAATAACACAATAAATAAATAGCATCATTACGAATGTTATTACGCATGGACAAATAAAAAATCGCAAATAAGCTGATAAATCGCAAATAAGCTGGTATAGAATACAACTGTGATGTAACCTAACCAAATCTGATCACGAATAAGTTGCTGACATGCATAGAATCTATTCCATATTCTCAACCCTCAATGTATTCCACATTACCTGCGTGTCGTCTGTGACGTGACATTTTGTCCGTCACAGTGCAGACTTGTCGGCGGAGGACTCGTGCTTCCTATCGGCTCGGAGGGCGAGCGCGCAGGCGAGTGCGCACGCGAGCGCGCGTGTGAACGCACCTGCGAACGTGCGTTGAAACCACGTCATCTATTTTACTCTACAAATTTTCCTCTTTTTGTGTTAGCATTCCTTTTGCATAACGACTAAATTTATCAGAAAGCGTGGACGCGCCACGGATCACGCTCGGCAGCTGCTGTAAAATAATATTGTATCATCGTGCCGTCTCACCCGCCACCCTTGGAAGGAAGACCGAAGAAGCTGAGAGAGACGAACGCACACCCGGACAAGCAGGTTGTATTATTTTATATCATTGCTCATAACTGCTGTCGCATATGAAAGGAACCATACTGTTATATTCACGCGAGGATTAACAAGAAATTAACAACTCGCGGCGTTATCTTCACTTGTAGAAAATAACTGCTTTATTTATTTGAGAACTGCTTTGCACGCAGCTTCTTACATGCTCAGCCATCTTAGTTCTATTACTACACTGTGTTAAAGATATAATAGAGAGGCGGTAATCTTGGTCGCGCCATCTAGTAGAGTTTTGTGGCAGCGCGGTGTTTTCCGGAAAGGCCTTCAATAATCAAACTCAAACATGCCGGCCGCCTTGGAAAGCCTAGCTTTTCAAAATGTTAAAATAAGCCTTACACAACATCATGTAACTGAGAAACAAGCATAAATAATAAAATTGTTCACAAATACAATAAATTCATTTATAAGTCATTAATTCTGAAAAAGAATATAAGTCAAAATTATTGCTCCACAGGAAGCAAACTCAGCTTGTTTGCTGTTCTTTTAAAGATTCCTTTAGTCGTTTTGATCGTAGCTGCTCGGACAATGCCGTCGTCTCCGGGATGAACTTCTAGTATTCTGCCGAGAGGCCAATGCAATGGCGGCGTATTATCCTCTTTAATAAGTACCATGCTTCCAGGAGTCACATTAATATCCTCAACTCTCCACTTCGTACGTTGTTGTAATTGATGTAGATAGTCTTTAGACCACCTTTTCCATAGATGCTGGCGCATTTGATCAACTCTTTGCCAGCGGGAAAGTCTGTTATCTTGAACGTTCAATAAAGTCGGTTCCGGAACGTCGGTAAGTACGTCTCCAATGAGAAAATGCCCAGGAGATAAGTATGTTAAATCATTAGGATCATTGGAAAGGACGGTGATGGGACGAGAGTTTAATATAGCTTCAATTTGGATTGAAAGGGTTAGCATTTCGTCTGTCGTTAGCAACGTTTCACCGACCACCTTCCTAAAATGAGTTTTGAATGATCGGACTGCAGCTTCCCATATCCCGCCAAAATGAGGAGCTCTGGGGGGTATGAAATGCCATTGTACACCTTGAGTGGCACAATCTTGGGTTAATTTACGCTGTTCTTCAGTGAACATTTCATGTAATTTCTTCAACTCGCGGTCTGTTCCCACAAAATTTGTAGCATTATCGGAGTAAATATCACTTGGTTTGCCTCGACGTCCTATAAAACGTCTTAGAACATGTATAAATCCCTCGGCGGAGAGATAGAATGCCATTTCCACGGCCTTAGTTGAACGGCCTTAGTTGCCAGACATACAAAAATAGCCACATATGATTTGTTGGTCCTTGAATTTCGCCGTTTGGATTCACGAAGATAGAACGGTCCACAAAAGTCCACTCCCATATGCGAGAATGGTCGAGAAATCTGGACTCTGGCCTTGGGAAGATTACCCATGATTGGCTCAATCTGAAGGATTGCTGCGGAAGCATTTAATGCACTTTCCGATTGTAAAACGAACTATGTTTCTGCCGTTCAACGGCCAGAATTTTCGACGAATGGACGCTAAAGTTGTTTGCGATCCAGCGTGTAACAATCTGGAATGCTCATTTTCTATCAACAATTTGGTAAATGGATGCTTAGATGGCAACAACATCTGATGTCTTGCTGAGTA